TGTGTGTGTGTGTGTGTGTGTGTGTGTGTGTGTGTGTGTGTGTGTGTGTGTGTGTGTGTGTGTGTGTGTGTGTGTGTGAGAGTGTGTGTGTGTGTGTGTGTGTGTGTGTGTGTGTGTGTGTGTGTGTGTGTGAGTGAGTGAGAGAGTGTGTGAGAGTGTGTGAGAGTGTGTGAGTGAGTGTGAGAGTGTGTGAGTGAGTGTGAGAGTGTGTGAGAGTGTGTGAGAGAGAGAGAGAGAGAGAGAGACCTCTGGGTAATATTTCCCTCATCAGGGTCTTACCTCTCCGTTGAGATAGAGGAGGTCAAAGGCGTACACACACACTTGCACTTTGATCTCCGAAGCGTCCACGTCCTGCAGGGAGGCATTACAGAAACACACAAATTTCATTATTGACGAAAATATGCAAATAGACCCTTTTTATTCAAAAATCGTTACATCCAATCTTGGGACTTGTTACAAAGCGCGCTTTGATTTCTCCTCAGTTCATCTTGAAAGCTAAGCACGCTACCTGTTCACAGCATTACACCTCCTGTGTGTTCACCTCTCTCTCTTCCAGCGCAGCACTTCCTGCCTTCACTCTCACCTCATCCCGTTTCTTCCACACTTATTTACTCCCGTCAGTGTCTCCAGTCTCCACTATGCCGTAGTACAGCGATTCCCCTGTGGCCCGGACTACACCGAACGATACTGAATAGCAAGTTCAGGTTGCAGCTTTCTGTGAATCCATTCCTCTGTGTGTGTGTTAGGCTTCTTCGTCTTGGCTAGTAGATTCCTTTAGACTAGTGATTTAAAAATCAGGTTGTGCCATTAAAATAACAACAGCAGGGAAGAAGGAGACTGCCAGCAAGTACATTTAGACATTCAGGTTTCGACAAGATGCCAACAAATGCTTTTGCTTATCTCTTATAAGGAAGGAAAGTCACTTCATAGGTTTCTTAGGAATCAAGAAAACAAACAAAGTGCCAAGTACAACTTCATGTAAACAGAAACTTTGAAGATAACTCCACAGGGGACCTTTAAGAAGTACTAGCAGAGACTGTAGTTATGTGTGAGCTTTTAGGAGCCACATGTCTCTCTATTCTCTGTGTTTGTCTTTTGTATTTTTCTTGGCCTGTTCACTGGAGCGATGATGGTAGTGGTTATTTGAATGCTTTTACCTATTCACGCTTTTGGCATAGAGTGGTGCAGAAACGAGTCCTAAAGCCATGAAATAACTGAGCGTTTTAGCACTTTGGGTTCCCTTGTATCGAAGTCAACATGTGTTTTGGGAGCGTGTTCGTAGATAGAAGTCTGAAATAAGGCCTATGGTTAAAACAAGCTGAAGAGATGTTCGCATTTTGTTCTCAGACAGAAATATGTCGGTAAATACCACACTGGTGAATGTCCTCTGCTTCGATGTGTCATACAAACAGGTAGGGCTGCTCAATTCAAATCGTATTTGAATCGCAATTACAATTATGGCTTGCAACGATTACGAAAACAACGTAATCGAAATAAAACTATTATTATTATTACTTTATTTTTTCAAATAAAATGTTTCAGTTGAATTACACTTAAAGTTCACGGTAATCAACTGTGAAAAACATACTGTTCAAAAAAAAATTGATGTTTTTAAAGTAAATGGAAAATCGTTTTTAATAATCGTGATATCAATTATTGACCCAAATAATCGAGATTATGATTTTTGCTTGAAGACACTATAAAACATCCTCAACCTGACACAAGACTGCCTTTAGTTAGCGGTGGTGATGTGCAGCGATGCAACTGTGATGTAGATTATATTACTTTATAGTGAGCTAATGTGAGCCTTTTACTTCTGGCCATTGGATTAACGCCTCTATGCCAACAGTGTGAATAGGTAAAAGCATTCAGAAACCACTACCATCACCGCTCCAGTGAACAGGCCTACCACTTCAACTGAGTGAAAAGTACAACATGATACACACAGAGAATAGAGACACCTTCAAAAATCACAAAGTGGTGGAAACATGTTGATATTGTCCTTCTGAACGAAACATGTTAAGTGTCTTTGCAAACTGTGATTATTTTCTTCAACATACTAGAGAAATGTGTATCAGCTGCCAAAGCCTTTTTGAAAGCAGTAATATAAAAATAAAACTGAACAAAACCCAGAAAAAAAACTGCCAAACATCTCTGGTGAAACATTTGGCTTTTGGCAAAACGTGGGCATCCGACCAGAACAGGAGG